CGTTGGTTAACATCGACCAGACTACACAGCGCAACAACCCAGAAGACAGAAATCTTCATACTCACCGCTGTGAAAACCTCAAATCTTACAAGTCTGATTTAACTTCATGCAAAGTAGGAGTAGCAGTTAGTTAATATGAACCAAAATTAAATTTGTTATAACAACCTCTGGCGGAGTAAAATTAATTTGTTAAGAACAGGATATGTTTATACTACCACAAGATGGCTTCTGTCCTTTGCTGTAATAATTACACGAACGCAACAGAGATGAATTGTATTTGTGGTATTTGTGGGTAAAGCAAAAACAAGCTATCTTCTTGTTTTATTGTTATCCTTCCACCTCCGTCAGCCTTCTAAATGGATGTTTCAGGAGAGGTTTCCCTGCCAAAATTTATGCTTTGTTCATAAATGGCAAGATTTCAAGAGACACTACACAGCATGAAATTAAATAGCTCTGCCACCTGCCACCTGCCACCTTCCAACCTACAGTGTCACATAACAATCTCCACTTTTAAACACGCGCGCACTTCCTAGTCCTCCTTCCATAATTGACTTTAATTTTCCTGCAACAAGTCCAGCTCCCTACTTTCACCTGTCTGATGGAATACCATGTGTCATTAAACATAAATATCCTACATCACACTGACCCCAATAAAGTGCACCTATCAAACAATTTACAAGAGAATTTTATAGACTTCAAACAACAAGACCATCAAAATGAGACAAAGTTATGAAAAATGTGGTTATGTAATGTCATTCAACATTAGACAAAATTAAATTTTCCACTGTGCCTCGACACGATGGCACGAACGTGTATAGGGGACGTGGAGACAAACACCATTTCAAGCTAGATATTGGAATTATTCACGGTGAAGGACGTCCGGAATCCTTTCGATAGGAACCTGGGAGGGCCCCAGAACCTGTGTTGTCGCGAAGGTGACCCCGAGGCCATCCACTCTTCTGACGGAGCTACCTTCATAAACAAATAAACATGATATTGAAACGCAGGGCATGTCAGATCAAAGACTTTGTTAGAAATGCACGTCCGCCATGTCATTGCGTCTCGGGTACCTATAAAGTGCCTTTATACTGAAATTAATTCATAAAGCAACATTTTCCTTACAGCTGCATGGGAACGTTACTGAACAAAGGACAGCCTTGTTGCGTATGCAGGAAGGGGAAACCCGTGTGATAAATTGGGGCGTTTCAACTGCGGCCATTTCAGAGTAGCGGAGTAAGACGACGTCTGCAGCATTTGAGATGGCACTTGCGCAGTACGACCCGTCAATGTTGACGGGAGTGAATCTTTTCGTGTTGTAAACAGTAATACTGGGACTCTATCTCCGTCTTCAGATTCCTACACAGTTGGGCCCACTAGATAGAGCTAATCCCTATCTCCGGAGATAGGGATTAGCTCTATCTAGTGGGCCCAACTGTGTAGGAATCTGAAGACGGAGATAGAGTCCCATCTCCGAAACGTCGTTTCACGTTTTATATTTTATTTACTAGACTATGGATAATATCCAAGAAAATTTTTATTCAAAGTAAAGTATTATCCTTGCAAATCGCAAAGAAAGTACATTTATAAAATGTCTTTATAAAATAACCAAACGTGAAAACATATTCACGGTGACTGAAATCACATTCCTACCAAACGCATAAGAAAACCAAACCGTCAGCCATTCGAAAGTTGTCCAAATCAGAATCGTAACTGGAGAAACACTATTAAAAAATATTTACTCAACAAATTTTAAAAGTACTCGAATTTAGCGTTGTAAATTTAGGAGATTCTGATGGAATCATAGGTACAATAAAGTTATAATGTACGCCATAAAATTAAGACACTGCATCTAATGAGTATGTAGCAAGGGTAGGAGAGATACGGACTGCATACAAAACTCCAGTCTGCAAACCCGAATGGGAAGTGACTACTTGGAACGCACAGCAGAATAACATTAAAACTGATCTTCAAAAAGTATAGTATGAACACGTGTACTGTACCTGTCTCAGGATTGGTCCAAGTGAACACGGTAATAAACTTTCAGATTCCATACAAAGCGGGAAATATTTTGACCAGCGTCAACTAGCTTCTCCAGAGGGCTGTTAATGAATTTAATTTCAAAACTGTTCACATATTTGCACACAAAAAAACAAAGACTCGCACACAGCCCATTCTAAAATTCGTTGACGTGTCAGTTAGAGCGTAAGGAAAATCATTGTGCAAGAAACTTTCCAGAAGTTAACTGGGAAGAGAAAAATATAATTACAGCACATTATCCACTGGACGATGAAGACATACTACGTAATGATTGACCTTGCGGTCTGCGAGTTGGGCTACATGATGAAGTCGTAATTCTGCACGTATGTATCGTCCATTTCCTTCAGCCACAACAGAATGTAATGTTAGGGTTCCTTGTAAATGTCTTCCTGCCGCCTCTGGAGAGATTCGCAATTCTGCAATTTACATTAGTCAACACGAAGACAATGTTCACGAAAAGTGAAAATATGCATACGCACTTTGACGCACTAAAAAAATCGCCCATGTATTTACCAATTTCCTTTCAGTTCTGCTTCTCCAAAGTATTTTGGTCTGCAGTTAACGCATTTTAGGGTAAATCTTCACTTCAAATCGCCGATTCTATCTCGACAGCGCTGTAAAAAAAAAGATGCTTCCATATTTTACGTCGGTGTGAGCATCTCAAATTTAATCCCATCATTCAATGTCATCAGACAGACAGAAACACGCGCGTGGCTCACCTAGAAACACACCTCCTGACCGCACATGTGAAAGTGAGAGTTACGGAGATAATGAAAAATAATGACCCACAGGTTTCAGTGCCTTGGGGCAAAATGCCGTGCAGCGTCGGAAATTTCTGAGACACTCAGGCCTAGCAGGTGAGTACACGCAACTTGGTTCAGCTCTCCTTCGCGGTTGGGAAACACTTTTGAGTCCCCTCCCTAAAGAACTCTCGATACCGGCAGGGCAAATCGCCCTGATAATGCGGACAGCACATACCTCTGAAACGTCGATAAATTTCTACCATACTACGTCTCAGAAGACAGTCATTACATTTTTCCTCCTTCAAGCGTCGTTTAACCCTTTAAAGCCGAAGCTCGTCTAAATATTATTTAATAAATCAGTCCGTACCGCGAAGAAAACACGACACTTCACCATTACAAAAGACCACTGGTTGACGCTGTTTAAGGAAATGATCGCTGTTTACACTGAGAATCTTACGAAACCCATACATTCAAAACGCAGAGTTATTAACTGTGTGAAGCAGGTGGTACATATAGTTACCACTGGGTCTTAAAGGGTTAAAGATGTGCTCGGACGAATCGGATAGAAGAGGGGACAACATTTTTAGGGACGTTAAGAAAGATGAGGTCGTATTATAAATTCCAGATTTCCGAACACGTATGAAAAGTTAGAATATTTCTTGGGTTCCGCTCCACTCCACGACTTGAGGTTGAGAACGTTCAGTGTGGGAGATTACGTCTCTTCGATGTTCATAACACATAAAGATGCACATTTAACTGTGTAAATAAATGTGCTGATAACAACAGGATTAACTATAAATGTAGATGCTTACTTGTAGCGTGATTTATAGACTATTATATAGACTGCAGTTTGTGAGTTACACTGGGAACCAGACCTCGGAAGACCCTTCTTGTCATGAAGACCTGCAAATATGTTTCAAAGCTTACTAGTGTGTCAGCGGTATTTATTTTTCTTACCGTTAAAGTCGGTACTGTACAGAAACCATCCAGTTCTGTTTAACGTTGAATTTATTTATTCTTTGAACGCTAGTACAGATGCCGATTTGCGACAGTGTTGGCCTATTTCGTCACGAAACTTTTCCACGGGATAACAAGTACGAAAAAAAAAATCATATTGCATAAAGCTGTCAGAAAATAAACCTGTCGTGCATTTTCCAATTCATCATTCACTAATCATCCTATCATTGGACGCCATACACTCTTGAGTTACTAAGAGTCATTAAATATAGCGTAATTGCCAAGGATATACATTCACCAGATTATAGATTTCAATTTATACGCGGCTGTGTTCTCCTACGCATTACAGCAACAATTAGTACACGTCATAACTGGGCAGAAGTGTTTTCCTGGCCTTGAGACGTCATAATGAAACATATTCGTCTTTATAATGTGAAAACATAATAAATACCAGTCACTTTTATTTTATTGGGGGAAAAAACCTTGTAAATTACATGTTTAGCAATAACAAAATAATGACGCTGTGCTCAACCTGGGCCTTTTTATTAAGACCACGTATATAATAAATACCTCGTCAAGTTGATAGCTGTATGAATGCACATTTCTGCGTAAGAGTGGCTTTAAGATGGACAGATTCCCACAAAGGATTTATAGTTTAAGACTTAATTTTGAGTTGAGTAAACCAGTAAATACAAATAACTTTTTCGATCTTCACACAATTGCCAAGGGGATCGGCAATTTGCTGGCAGCTACGACCTTATTCCTCTAATTGTCTCTTCAATGACCGTCCTTTGTTTCTTGTTCTAGTCAGTCTACATATACATGATCATTAATTCTGCATTTCATTCCGCGTTCTATCGAAGTGGCAAATCAATCTCTTTCAGCAGTCCACAGACTTAGTCAATAAAAATCCTTCTTCAATGCCTTGGTTCGTTTTGTAACCTTTCAATGGCCCTGTCAATATTTAACCAAATAAATAAACCACTTAACTCACTTATAAATTATTTACGTGAGTAGCTCGTCAAACTCTTGGGTGAGAAGCTGAAGTTTCAACATCGTCTTTAAACGCAACCCTGAAACAATTCTAACCTTACTCCGTCCTCACGACATATTCGACCAAGGTCGAGCATATTTCTTGTTTCGTCCTGAGGAACTTTGCCTTCCAGTTTACACATTATAAGCCAATAAAAAAAGCTGTCTTATGCTCTCTAGTTACGCAGAAGTAAACTCCACGCGATAATCCTCTTTCAAATGTAACATCCACCCCCAATGAGTGGACTTGGTAAATTTTCTGCGCAGCCATCGGCCTCCATAAAACATCTCGACTGTAGTACTACAGTCGGCTCTAACAACTACGGAGCACAGTAAATTGCGGTTGTCTGACAGCCGCCTAAGGTAAAGTTCGCAACCTTAAGGGCGATCACGTCACGATCAAGCCGGTATACACTTGAATTTTTTAAAAAAAAGAGGCAAATCGGGTTCATGGCTCCTTTCAGACTTACTAACTGGACGGAAATCAGTACTAGTGACTGGTTGGCTCAGTATCACAATACGTGATTACTGCAGGTCAACATTTACTTGAAACAACTGCAAACTGCAATAAGTCAGCGACTGTATCTCTTCCTAAATTATCCGGTGGAATGGATCACACGGGATCATCGCGAGGAAATCTGCATTATTATTTATTATTATTCAGTGTTCTGTCTTACGACAGGTTCATTGCTCTGCCCAAACAGAGCTCTCCAGTTTTCCCTATTCTCGGCTTCTCGTTTTAATTCCTGGAACGTCATCTTCTTTCCTTGTTTAAGATCGTCGGTTAGCTGTATCAGTCTTCTTCCTAGTCCTCTCTTTCCTTCAACCTGGCCTTCGATGATATCACTCAGTAATCCATTCCTTCTCATAATATGTCCCAGCCAGTTAGCTTTCCTTCGTGTAATCGCCTGCAGAATGTTTCTTTGCTGAAATCTGCATATGCCGAGTTTAGTCAAAATCTTTTAAATGGCCCAAAATATCAATGGAAATGTATGTTTAGGTCTTAAAACTTAAAATGAGTTAAAGTGAACGGAACGCACACATATCAATACCTGTAAGCAACACCCCATTTTCGATATATCAGTGCATTTATTTATTCGTGGTTTGTTTATTGGCGAAGTGAATGGGCTGAATCGTAGGATTAATGAATAACGAATTGGAAAACATTTCACAGCAGTCGAGTACAAAGTAGGAGTGCTAATCGCTCATCGGCGATGTTCGGTTCATAGTGAAAAACGTATTGGATCGAAGAAATTTCCTTCGGCGAAACGTTCCCATGACAATAACACGTAATAAGGTAAAACTCACAACTACATGTAAGCTCGTGAAATGGCTTTACTTTTACTCAGTCCCTTCTCTGTTTCTCTGTATACTTTTGTAATTATCATACTTAAGTCTAGTATAAAAGAATGTTCATTCATTAGTTTGTCACCCACGTAATGGCATTTACAGCAAGCTCAAACAGTTGGCACACTTTCGCAATCTTCCTAGTGCGGTCGGCGACAGGGACACTATGATTAGTGTTCAACACTTAAACCCTGAAACCCAATCAGACTTTATTAAGCAGTCTTGCTTTAAGAGACTTCAGGTTCCTGCGACGGTAAGGATATCGATGTTGATCCTCTGGGTACTTCCTCCGAAACGTCAGTAACCAGCAAGAAGGCGTCACAACCCACAAACGGAACACGGATAAGACGACATTAAGATAGATCTTAAGGCGACGGGTTTTGAGGATCGGAGATGGATGTAACTGGCTCAGAGTCGTGTCCGATGGGGGGGTGGGGTGGGGGGTTCTGTATTAGCGTTGTACGGGCGTCTTAAAGTTTTCCCTCAAAACGACTACAGATTGTAATGTGCCATCATCAGTTAACGTTACGACATTATAACGACCCGAATCTGACACATCTCTACAAAACACTAAAACACGCACAAAACAAATGTTCAAGCAAACTGCAATACTACTGATATTTCCTAGTAAATTACCCGTCAAATACGACGGTAAATCTAAGGTAATAAACGCGCATGGTCATAAATAGTATCGCAGAAGGCCCCAAATCTCCTAGCATCATTACCACGGCAATGGTTATAAAAAAGACCGCTGGGGAGACCTAGACGTAGATGGGAGGATAATCTCAGGCGGGGTCTACGGGAGATAGGAGTTGAAGGAGACTGGATTTTGCTGGCCCAGGACAGGGTCCGGTGGAGGGCTTTGGTTAATTCTGTGATGAACCGGTGATGAACCTTCGGGTTCTGTAAGCCATCTGTTTGGTTGGGTCCACTATTTGGGAAGCCTGAGGGGCAGAGACCTCTGGGGAGACCTAGACGTAGATGGGAGGATAATCTCAGGCGGGATCTATGGGAGATAGGAGTTGAAGGAGACTGGATTTTGTTGGCCCAGGACAGGGTCCAGTGGAGGGCTTTGGTTAATTCGGTGATTAACCTTCGGGTTCGGTAAGCCATCTAGTTAGTTAGTTAGTTAGTTATTCGCTTGTTCTGTTCAGAAAAGACAAAAACCGATACATGTGCTTTATTTGCATGTTTGTTCATTGACGTTTTGTGACAGCACTATATAGTAAAGATCAAATTTACAAAACCCGCCTGCTAAAAAGCATCATGTCGAAAGACGACTTGGTATTTCCGCATATCAAATACACCAGGAAAGCCTTGAAAATTATACGCACTCATTTGACTCTAATCGTGTTTACATGCCATCACTGATTATTCCTGGACAGAACTCTTCATTACCATACAATAAGCAGTCTAGACCACATCGATTACTAGTAAACACTGTTCTTTTTTTCTTTGTGCTGAGATTTGGAACTCGTCCAGATGCGTGAGACTTGTCCTTACCATCTCGATTACTATGGATGGTTAGACGTAGAAGGTTGTCTTGTATCTTGACAAAACATGGCACTAAAAAATACAGCTTATGAGAGTAGAGTAGACGACCAGTCGTGTTACGTACGCGAATGGAAGAGGATGGATCAGTGCGGCGAAGACTGTATGCAGAGTGCAGTGATGTAACCTGGGCGTCTTGGCTATTATCTTGTAAGTACGTGTAGGCGTCTTTTACGTGTAGTGAAAAAGTAAATAATCTTTGTAGATCAGTGATTTGCGAACTCTTCTGCTGTCTGCCACTTGGTTCATTCATAAGCCAAGGCGAACTTAATAAAACGAATGGCCGCGGAGAGGATTGCCGGGTTTCGATTCCCGCCACGGACAAAGTTACTTCTCTTCGCTACACTGGCTCTAGGACGCACTCAGCTTCCTCTCCAATCCGTACCAAGGAATATTTCCTCAGGAGGAAAGCGGGCCAAAGTGATTTTACTCCTCCCACAAAGCATCCTCACGGCGTGATGCTTAGATCCGTGAACTTTTTATCTTCTTCGTTCATTTAACGACACTTTCTCAACTACATACATCGGTAGTACTCTAAAACTGTATTCTACAGAGACCTAGTTCGTATATCGGATAGACCAGTGGTATTCAACCTTTTTTGTTCGCGTACCCCCAAAGTTGTTGGTGTATAATTCAAGTTGTACATAGTATATAATCTACATCTAAAATAAATTAAATACATTACATTACTGATTATTCAGTATTTATCATAAAATAATTTTTTTTTTTAAAATTTCACGTACCCCCTAAACCAGGAGAATGTTGGGGCAGTACAGTGAAACAGACAACTACCGCTCCCTTCCAGATTATTACCTACTCACCATTCGCGATCATTATTCCATCTTATTCGACATTATTAACACATGAAACCGAATCAGTGTCCCTCATAACCAAGGAATTCAACGGTGCGTAATATAAATTGTCACACAAGACGGTGGCTGAATGACGAGTTGAGGTTGCAAAGATGGTCACTTATTTTAAAGTACAGAGTGTTCCAAAAAGAAAAAAAATAGATGACGTATGCAATTACTTTGTGTGTGTGTATATATAGGGCATTCTGTATATCCACGTGACTATTTGCCTGGAAGACAAACGATAGAAGCGAAACACCAAGACGGAGATTCAGGGGCAGGTTGATTCAGAGGAACAACTGGCTTACTCACAATCGTGTTTGGTGTCAGCCTTTGATATTAGTGGTGACAGGTCTTCAGATTCTACTGAAACGATGTTTGTTGTATTTCAGATTTATGATTACGCATCATGAAATTTCAACGTTGAGTTTCAAAGACTTCATCACACTTCTCCTTTTAGAAAATCAGAAAAATAAACAGACCAGCCACATGCACAAAATAAAAATATTTGATTAGAAGTTTACCATGACAATACAGTTGCTTCTGCCCGACAGATAAACACTCGCTACATAAACACAGCAGTCATAAAATAGTTATTATTATTTAGTGTTCTGTCTGACGACAGGTCCATATGAACAGGATCCTTCCATCCTTTTCTCGGACTGGGACCTGTTCATATACGTTCTTGGCAGATGATCCAGAAGTGGTTTGCCATTGCCTTCTTCTGTGTGTGAATGGAGTAATTGTTGGGATGCCACGGAGAACCCGGGGAAGCCACGGAGAAACCGGGGAAGCCCCCGGAGGAAAACTCCGTGTTGCCTAGACCACGGCCTTGCCCAACACAAGTTATAAATCTAAGCACCACCGGGAATGGAACCGAGAACCCAGGATTACAAGGCCAGCGTGCTAACCGCTAGACCACCGTGGCATACAGGCGTCCCAAAGTGAATGAAACAAAGACATTTTAATAAACTAAACAATTACATACGTCAGAATTGGCACTTGTGTTAAAAATTATCACCGATTGCTTTGTGGCACAGTTAACAGCGGTTAGCGCAAAAGACTGACATGTGACCACCAAAATTGCTACTAGGACGACTGTGTAAACATCTTGGGACATCCTGTATGTAGGCTAGTTGTTAGGGTTGAGATTTAAATGGAACACCCTGTACAAGGAACGTTACGTCAGTGGAATCGACACAAACCTCGTAATTCAATTTCCTGCAACTGCTAAGTTGGAACATCAGCGTCACTTTGTATAAAGTGAAGGTGAAATTATGCAGGTCTACAGAAATGTTTTCGAGAAATACGCAAGTTTCAAGATCTTTTTTATGTAAAAATACGTAATAGCCATAACAGAAATGTTTATTAATCTTTCAGTTTGACTTGGTTAGTAATGAACAAATGGAACAGGGATTTTATATTCTGTGTGAAGACAGATTTAAAGATTTCTCTAAACCATGTAAGAGTCAATAATTACAGACATGATGACGATGCAGATTGTGTTTTATCTTTGGGTTATAATCTTACATTACCGAATGTAACATTAACGAAAAAGATTTGTACGACAAGAAGTCAGTGCAAAAGTAGAGTAGAATTTGAAGTTTATATAATTTTATACACCTGAAGATGGTTCATTTAGAACTGAAACATGTCGTGTAAAAAGTGATGTTCTAATGTAAATCGAAAATTTCGATAGAGAACATCATTTTAATATATTTTAAATATTTAAATGTTAATTATAGTAATATTTTAATATTTAATAGGAATTTTATTGTGATCAGACTGACAAGATTTAAACAAATATATATTTATCACAATATGACGCAACATTATCATCTCATAGAATTTGTGGGTTCTTCCCGGAAATCTGCATTTTATTTTCCAGTTCGATGAAGTGTGACCATCACGGACTCCTTTAACTCTTACTTCGAACTCCGATCTCCCAATGTTGGCCATCAATCGGTAAACATATCAAGCACATATTCTAACTGCAATAAATCAAGTTCCTGAGTCCAATCTCATTACTTTTCATGAACTAGAAGTTTCTTCTAACCTCACTAAAGTTGATAGATGAAAATGATCTGCGACCTAAAAGTTACACGTCCATAGTTCTGTCAAGATACGACAGTTTATTCGACGTCAATATCAATAATCTCATCCACCATCGTACAAGAATGCCTACAACGAAGGACGCAAAATCAATCTGCCGTATTTTTTCTAATTTAAAGCACCGCCTAATATATCCCAATTCATTTGTGTAAGGCAAATATTGTGATGATAGGCACACTGTATAGTTTAATATAATACATACGTATTTTTAAGCGTATTAAAAAAATATGGCTTGTTAGCGCGAGCCCCTTATTAAAAAAAATTGCCATGCCACTCCTCAGTGGTAGGTAACTGTGCCATCTGCTTTCATAATCAATAACCCTGCATTTTGTCCATAGTAATAATAATAAATAACGACAATTTCCCTATCAATTAAGTGGGGGTGTAAAACATTTCCACTGTTCTGCTTTCTCATTTTTTCACTGCTACCAGTAAATCTATCATACTCCGGTAGATGTCACCGCAGTTACGCGGATGGTACAAAATAGGTTATCAATGCGCATGCGTTACTGTAGAAAGGAGGACGGGGTTTACTAGGCCGAGCTGTGATATAGGAAGCATTTGCCACAATAACAAACAAATGAGCGTTCTTCAGATCATACAACATGTGAGCATGACTAAATGGTTACGTAATTATATAAAATGCGAGTGAATTATATAAAAATTACACAGTGGACAAATATTTTATTGATCTGTCTTATAATTAATGGGGGCTTTTACAATATCTTCGCTGCCTACAGATTAGATCCCACAGAATAAGATCGACCTCATTATTAATTTTAACCTTAAAAGCTTATAAAATCATCAAGGTATAAATAAAGATAAAGTTCATAAAAAACCGTTACAACTGTGACTTCGTTTTTAAATGAGGTCATGCAAGTTATTGATTTCTCGGAGCCGATATAGTTTGCATTTAATGGTGATGGGTAAGATATGACTGAGCGTTATAAAGTACCTCCAGTCACAGATAGACATTCCTTAAAATTTATTTTAACTGTAAACTTTGGTGTTATCCAAAACATTCAACTTCAATTACTGGCCTCAAGCTGACAATATATTCTTTTTTGCAGGTTTCAAGAACTGCTGACCAACTGGAATCTACACATCATTAACTTTTATAATGCCCCAACACCATCAGCCAGTGACTTTGCTTTCACTATGTCATACTCAAGTTGCAACAAACTTGGTTTCAACTTGCCGTTTACTCCAGCTTATAGCCCAGGACTCATCAGCTGCACATGCCTTGACACTAGCTCGCCGCAGGTTCCGTCCAAATTTGCTCTTGTCTCTGCCAGGTCTGATACGATCACAACTAATTGAGGAAGTGTCAAAATTACTGTCAGCACCAGCACCAGATGGTAGTGCTGGAGGAGCAGGCCCTGCACCACTCTACCTCCTTGCACTATTACTTGCACCAGATGTGCATCGACTAAGAGTAGAATTATGTTGTTACTATGGATGCAGCCATCAGGCAGCTCTGTTACGCCTCTTGGCATCAGAAGGCCGTGGATTAGAAACCTTGGAACTTGCTCGTTCAGCCTTGCTACGCTTGGATCGCAGTCTGCTACACGATGCTTTGGTATCAGCCACCTCACTCCGACACCTCATTCTTCACAACATAGCTGGTGATGCAGTTCTGCAAGTTATTGGAACAGCATGCCCAAATCTTGTTGTCCTTGATGTATCTCATTCAAGACAAGTGACAGATGCTGGACTTCGACATCTCTTCTTTCAAGTAGAACTTCATGATAAAGCATCATCTTCCACAGCAGGGAAATGTGAGATATCTGACTTAGAACAATGTGTAAATTCAAATGGAGGATGTAGTGGCAGAGGGTGGGGAAGGCTAAGAATTCTGCTTCGACTTTTCCCACGACTGAGGTTAAATCGTGAGGGAGAAAACAAGATGAGGGATCGATCATTTCTTCTCGAGTACTGTGAACGTCGTAACCCTCTCTGCGATACTCTTAGAATCCTTAATGTTGCCAATACAGGTGTCACCACTGCAGGGGTTCTGTTAGCTCTACATCATGTTCCCCATATACAGTCTCTTGGTGACTATGGTCACATGGGAAGGGCACTTGAAATACTAGATCGAGCATGGACTGCATCAACAGGAGACAGTGATCCTCCATCACCTCCTAGCTTTAGCCTCATTTCTGCACGATGCCAACGAACAACAATGAGACGACTTGAACTACTTTCTCTTGCTTGCCCTGCATTACAGAAGCTTACCATTTATGAACCACATCACCCACCCTCAGCACTGCATGTATTCCCCCCCACCCTCACTACCCTTCACCTCCTCAGTATTCCATCTGATGCAAACTGGATTGCTGGACTTTATGCCTTCTTGGCAAGTCCTCAAGGTGCAAACTTACATGATCTTGCATTACGTTTTTCTCTTGGTGAACAGTATATGTCACTGGACCTTAGCCAAATCTTAAAATCATGCCCAAATCTCCAAAAATTAGCAGAAGATGGCGCAGATGTCGAATGGAGGAGGGAATTTCAGGATGACACAATGAATATCATTCCACCATTATTAAACCTGCGGAGCATTCAACTGGGGCGTGTGGTGACTGCAAGAGCATTGATTGAATTGCTTAAGCGGGCACCTGCTCTTGAAATAGCACACTTTTACAGATGCCCTGACCTAACTGATGATCACTTAATTAGTCTTACTGCCAAACCATCTAATACTAGTCACTATTACAGGGGTGGGGAGATCCAAAGTTCAGCTGTATATCCCTACCTATCCCAGCACCTGGAGTGTTTCTATGTCTACGAGGCTTCCCACATAACTGCGCCAACAGTAGTTACATTACTTGCTTGTTGTGAGAACCTTTTACGGACTGGTAACCTAAGTAACTGGGGTCTCGACTGTGAAGGAATACGGTGGATACATAGCACAATACTAGACAACAATCTCAATTTAGAAATCAACCCTGGATCACACTGGTTCTGTTCTCAGTGTTTTCCTATCTCATGACACAAAGTGTTCACTCCCATGTTCTGTGCATGGAAATAGATACATCACTTTATTGTGGTTGTTCTTCAAGCATGTTATAAATGTAATATTTGTAATGCCTGTTTTATGTTAATTGTGCCATTGAATATGTTAACTGGATAAACATTATACAGCTGTAATTTCTTTGCATTGCCATATCATTTTAGATTATCAATTCTAGTACCTGTAAGATCCATATGTTTGTTGTGTGAAATATACTCTAACAAAATTTTTAAAATAAAACCTGTCAGACCTGCCATCTTCTTTAAAGCTTGTGTACCTCATTTCCCACTATAATATATTTATTCAACATACAAAAACCAAACTGCTATTGCCAATTTCAGCACATGCTTCAAAGTCTCTGAATTCAGGTATGAAACCAGATACGAGGATGGGAGACAGATGAAAATGGCCAAGGACTGTGTCCAGTGACAGGCTTTTCTAATCAGTGTTGAACTTTCAGGTTCTATTAAAATAGAGTTTGGTAGTTTGTAAACACCTAGCAAACATTTTGTAATTAGAGCGTGAAAATTCAATATCAATAATAAGGACCCTATCCTAAACCAATTTGATATAATCCATACATATCATCAATGCCTACATACCTACTACCCATTTTAATCCCACACACCCACTTCAATCTTAAGTCTTACAAGTTGCATTTTTTAAGAAATTTTCCAACAAGAATTCCGTAACAATTAACTTATTTTGGGTTACCATTTTCCTTCATTGTGCATATTTCATTTTATATATTGTTTATATTGCTTCCTTCAGAGCATAATATTAAAATCTTTTTATGCATGCGTGACCAGGATGATAAGATGATACTATATAATTATACTTTTTAAGATCACATTCCAGACTGCAAGCTTTAAATTACACAACCTTAGACATCAGAATAAGATACACATTCCATTTTGTACCCAACAATCTCTATTCGAATGGGCCGTACTTTTACAAGTTCAACACGGCAATTCACCCACCAACACAAATGCTAACTACATAATATATATTACCAAACAACAGAAAACAATGATGTCATATACCAACTTCCTTTAATATCTTAACCTTGATCTGATATTCAATTGAGATATACCCACAGTTCACAAGATATGAGATACTGACCCACTAACCCCATACAGTAGCATTCTACATTGTGGAGAACTTTTGTCACACATGTTAATTCAATTGATAAGTAATGTCTTGTCTGAAATGATTAGAATTTTATATGCATAGCTCCAGAAATACAACTTAAATCTACTCACCACTTAAAAAAGAATTTGCTTGATTTAGCTTGCAGTAGACTTCATACAAAAATTGTTGTAGGACATATTTAGAAACTAAACATTGCATGGTATGAAATGGGAACAAAAATGATAAATTTCTTAATTTGATTTTTGTTCTTTACACATAAAAATAAATAAATAATTCATTACTCTGTATATAATCAAAATGTCATCATGAGATTGTGTTAACAGTGTATCTGCTGGCAGGTTTCTCTGCCCATGACAGTTGTAAAATATATTCTGCTATGAGGAGAATAAAAAAGAAATTATCTTGTATGAGATCATAGTAGGAGTAAATGCACTTTAATTATGAGTACAGTAGAAGAAAGGTGACACAAACAGTACAAATATCAGTGACGGTACTGGAAATGAAACTGTTGGACTTTGTGAGAATTATAGCATGTAGCAAACATGAGTGAAACTCGGAATGGGCACAGACTTCTTGACATGCGACTAATATGAAGCTGAGAAAGCACACCAGACAGCTACTCTCAATGTCAGAGATGCGTTACTGAACAAACTGGAGAATAATTGCCCAATGAAAATGATTTTTTATTAACAGGTATACTGCTCATAATTTTTGTTCCTTTCCCCTCATTTACTCATCCCTCAATCCATGAGATGAGGAAATATGGAAGGAAAGGGAAGAATGGGAGCCTTCTGGCATGGCTGGACAGCAAAACCTCCAGGTTACATGATTCAATGTTAGGGCATGTCGTTATAGAAACAAGGCCTTGTTGGTATGGACCATAATCTTTCATCCAAACACACAGATTCTAAACTTCTTTAGTGCATGAACAATTGCCAACAATTCTTGCTCACACACAGCAGTATTCTGAAGGTGAATAAGATCTGTGATGTACCAGAGATGATATTCAGGTTCCCAGCACTGTCTCGTTGTGTCAGCACCCCGTGATCATGATCTGGCTCACATCAGTATAGATGGTGAAAGGCAGGCACTACTGCACTGGCCACCAACATGTTAACCTGCCTGTGGTGAGATTGGTATATTTCTGGAGCACGACATATATGTAATAAAAATTTCCCATGTTAAAGTTCCTCTTTCCAAACATGTAAAAATAATAAGGAAGAATTAATTTTCTTACTCACTTCTCGCATGCCATGGGAATGGAGAACAGCAGACAATAGTTTGGTTTCTGCCTGGATTGTCTTGTAGGTCATATGAAGCTCATTTGCTGGAGGATCAACAGGGGGGTCTGAGAGGGCGTTGCATCGGAACCTCAGCACTGTATTTCTTGAACCCAATGATCCTCCAATCATCCAAGAATCATCAGGATCTACTAAGCTTGAAGTACTGCCACTATAAAATAAAAAAAATTAATATTCAGTGTGTGTATTTACGTTTGAGTATAGATGGATAACGCTTGGAAATTTCAATGGGTTTGCTGGGAAATCTCTGGCTTTACACATGAAATGGGCCGTTTAATTGCCATTTATGCACACAGCCCAGCCTTTTGAAACACAGAGCTTATGTTCCTGAAATACTGTGCTCAAAAAACCTAAGGATCTATGAAAAAAAATTGGGGGTCAGGGAACTTGAAAAAGAGATTACTTAAGACATTTTCAGAAAGCAAAGATTCATCAAAAAAAATTGTGATCATTAGAATTGGGTCTTTCAGTATGACCCCCCAATGAAAAAGACCAGTTTAATTTTATGTTTCAGTACATTAAGCATGTCAGAGAAAACATAATTTTATTACGTTCTATTGCATTGGGCATTGGATGAATTAACCTTAGTGTCTATGACTAATAAGTTTGTTTCATTGTGTTCAAATCCAGTCCCTTATCTAACAAATTTTCTTAATGTGCACTACAAAACACTAAGCCTTCCAACACAAACTCACTTCTCAGATTTCTTTCTTGTCTGATGGACCAGGGGAAGTTCCTTCAGTTTCAAGTCCTGAAATTTCTCTGCTGAGGTTATAATCTTATAGAGTAAACCATCATCACTGTCACTATCCTTCTGAAGCTCAGCTTCATCTTCAATAGAGTGAGACCTTCTCAGTAATGAGCTATCCATAACTCCAAACTGAAACAGAAATTATCAAGCTACATACAAATATTATTTCTGCCCTGAGTTCAGCTCCTCTTGGCAAGCAAAGCTGTGTCGTGGTTAGCAATCCTGCCTCACATTTGTGTGATCCTAACCTTGAATTTCACTACAGAAACTTGTTATTCTAACTTGGTCTCTCTGTATTTCAGTTCAGTCCCATCAGGATACTACAATATCAACAAAAATTTCTTCAAATTTCCTGTCCTGATATAAGCACTTTTCTTTACATGTCAACTCTTTCCTAAATCTTCTGTATACCTTCCCTCATTAAATTCTGATGCTCTCATAGAAATCCTGTCATCTATGAAAAATACATGTTCGTTCTACTACATCATTAAATTGGTCACTTTTTTATAACAAATATCTGAATACCTTAAATAGTATGGTAGAACTACCAGGAAATGATAAATAGAACAGACTTTTAAGGTTGCTTTTTAACCTATCACTATGTCTACAAACCAGTCATGTTAACAGACAGCCAGTCTCAGGACTGAAATTTTAACCTGAGATATCCAAATATGAAGTAGATTTAAGGTTATAAAGGCAGTGAGTCTGAAGATAGCTGTCTTATAGGTTGTTGCGCCTCCATCATCAGGGTGACGACGGAGGCAGCAAGGACATCTGAAACGTCAGTTAACTTCTACCAGACTACACGGCGCAACCCAGAAGAAAAAAATTATGTTCTGCATAACGTTTATATATATAAGAGACTTATACGTTTTCCAGTGCCCACTCTGAACAGAACAACGCTGACTAATTATGAAAACTTGGACTTAAAATGGCATTTTCTAAATAAGCAATAAAAACATAATTCACCTTATTACCATTAACCAAACAAAATTGACTTCAGATGCTTAGCTCTCGCAAATATATGTCTGCATAATTTACAAGTGTACGTTCATTTCCAAATTGCGTGATATGGGTTCACTAAAAATAATATTTCCATTTCACGTGCAATATAAATAAATATAAAATTACCCAAATGCCTAATGTGACAGAATACACCATGAACTGCTATACTCTTGCATTCAACTATGACAGGAACGGCATTGCAGACATTTACTAATTTGCTCCCATTAGAATCATCGCACGTACATTTATAAATTTAAACAATCTCTATTCACTTCTCCTAGCTCGTGGCTACAAGCAAACACTTTAATTTCCGAAGGACTTCCTTTTACCTAAGTTTATCTGACATTGCAATTACTTTGCCAATCCCACATTACGACAATCTTCCATTAGATACAAATAAAAGTAGCCAGGGAGAGCGAAAGATGTGCATGCCTCGCTTTGATCAGTAAATTTATTCTCCGAGATTTGCGGGTCTCACGGATCACACATAAAAACTGCGCAATTATGCGTTTCACACACGATTGCAACGCGGTAACACGAGCTTTTACCCTTCGATATACAAAGCCTGAGTAGCACATGTTTATATAGGGCAATAAATTTGTCAAAATTAATAATAAACTCGGTTATTGTATATATAGGCTTGTAAATGACCATTCACCTACAGCCATTTACGCACAGGCTGTAATAGAATGTAACGACCGAATTAAAGAATTGAGACTTTTATTCAATAGAACATACCCAAATCCTTCTTTCCTACATTAGTTACATTTAAATTCGACTTCTTTGTGCTTTCTGTATCTATTAGTGTCAACATGTGTTAGGTGTAAGATAATTAAACATAAATATAGGCATCAATGACGGCCCAATTGGGCGAGTCACTGAAGGACATTCCATCCCCATCGTGTGGGGACTTTGTTTCTCGTATAAGTTCGACTCGTTCACAGGGGAGTAATTCGTGATTGATGCGAACGAATCGCTCTTCAGCAGTGGTCGGACCGTTTGTCACATGAACGATGTGACACACCTACTTGCCCACAAGTCGAACAAATGAGATCGCCTCAAGAACGTGCGAATGATAACCAGAAGGTTGAAGATTTCTGCCTTCTGGGTTGTTGCGCAACAACCCAGAAATCTTCATACCCACCGCTGTGAAAACCTCAAATCTTACAACCGGAAGGTTCATTACTGAATTAGCCAGTCCTCCATCGGTCACTGTCCTGGGCCAGTAAAATCCAATCGCCTTCATGTCCCATAGATCCGGCTGGATACTTTACTCTCATCTATGTCTCCCAAGTAGTTTCCTCCCTTTAAGCTTCCCAACCAATACCCGATGCATACCTTTTGAACCATCCATGCATGCCCCACCCATCTCATTCTTCTTGACTTAATCACCCCAACAATACTGCAGGACTCAAAACAAATAGTCTTAAAATCATTCACATATATTCATACACATCTCTATCGAAACCATTAGTATTACATTCAGTTCTCCCAGCTATGACACATCTGCACCAAAGGGATAACTAAAAAAAAAAATTAAAAACAACACACTGGGAATAACAATGTTTACATACCATACCTTTAGCAGAGACGCAGACACTGCAGTCACTCATTCCTTTCGTTTGAAAATCTTAGGAGGGAAGGGGGTAATAACATCCACATTCTAAACCTGTCTGAAGCAATGGCGATAAAGTTCACAAACGATGTCCATTACAAGGTATAATCATCACAGCAAGCAAAAGCATTACAACTCGAGATGTGTAGAGAGAAAGAATGCACAACTGCCAACCCTTTTCAAATACAGTTTTACAATCTTGATAGTCACACAACAAAGCACATTATTTAACTGAAGTATTAGACCCTTCACATTTTGATTAAGTTTCATTAATTTGTGAGATTTTATGTTCTCACAGCAATGAGCATTAAGATGGCTGCCTTTTGGGATGTTGTGCCATGTAGTCTGCAAGATATGACCAACATTTCAGAGGTGTTTACTGCCTACTGAAACACCAGTTCATATATACTGGATTACATGGCACAACATATCAGAAGTCATTAATCCTTTATAAAACAGAATTAAAACATATATAACTGTATTGATTTTACTCATATATACAAGTTTCTAATGTAATTTTACATCATGGCCTTCAAAATGTGTAGGCACTGTAAATAGCAGTAACTGAGCACTAGTTTACCAGCTTTTAGTGAATAGTACTAACAAAATTTACTCATAATTAAGACTACTGACATGACAGAATATCTTACCTGACAGTCTTCTGGCGAGGTTTACACCATACTTAAATGACTGGGGGATTATTAATGCACAACCTAATATAAACTACCAATACAACTGTATGCACTTCACTGATGTTATAAATAAAATGTAAAAAATTGTACAGTATGTAAGTTGTTTACATACATCAGAAGTATTCATATTATTATAAACAAATATCAAATGACCTTTGAGAATAAGAATGGAAAGGGAGAAAATGCTATACAATCTTTTTTAGCAATAAAGAAAATACAAAAAATAAAAGTGGTTCATCATAAAATTTTATACACCTTTATCTTGTGAGGACACAGTGATTATATTCAGCACGAAATGTCACATAAGACACGTGATATTTGTATTTTTGTGAATATGTCTGAAATCAACTAAACCTTTAAAGTATGTGTGGGACAATGTCTATCCAACCATGGATATTTTCATCTGTGGTTGCACACATCTGTCCTCCGAGTTTGTGACTGGGGTCATGGGGAAGACCTGATTTCACAAAGAAGTGAGCATTTGGGCATGTAAACTCCATATGGTATAGGTTAAGGCAATATATCCCACTGTATAACTAATGAGCAATTTTTCACTTAAAATTTGTACAAAAAATTAATGTATGTATGTATAAAACATACTCCTCTTAATAAAATTCAAGGTTAATTTAATAAATCCTGCAGTACATTAACTATAGAAAATTTCTTTTTACCTGCAGCAGGTGATGATTAAATGATCAAATCTGGAAATTGTCTGAATTTTATATTTACATTACACATCACGCTCTATACTTGGAAACTAACCCAATTCCATAAATCTTCAGTATTCTGAGAATTACTGGAGTATGATACGATGCAGTGAAGATCGCTTCACTGTGACACGTAGTCATGTTAGGTACTAAAATTTATGTTGTTACATAAATACAAAACACACATACTGCAATTATGAATCCATTAGAACAATGGAAATTTATAAAAATGTCTGAAAGACCACTGTAATCCGAAATTTGGGATTGCAGGCAGAGATAATGACTGGCATTTTATGTAATCTATATTTCTATGTTTATTTTGCATGTGTGCTCTGACAGGCTAATAAAAACCATAAAAAAATGTCTGTGTGTATTAATTAAAACTAACATTTGGACCCCACTTCCTGTTACAATGTTTAGGTTACAGTCAAATTTTAAAATAGCACTTACATAAAAGTCTGCATTCACCAAGTAACTGACCTGAGGGTGTAGAAAACAAAGTTGGTAGTCCCAAGATTAGAATCTGAAAAGCTGGCAGCAATTTTTGGTGATATAAAGCCCAATAAGATACTCCTCGCATAACAGCAGACGAACTTAGCAGTAGAAATGCATAAATGTTTCTAGTTCTAGTCATATACACTTTAAGCAAATAATCAATGTTAAGTAAATAAAAAAAATACTCTGACATCAAAATTACAAGTCTTGGTAATTATTCAGTAGCCTATCAACACTGAATACAAACAATTTAAAACATAACAAGAGTATCATATGAAATGACAGAACCAAATGTTTATCAATAATGGAACTGTTCTCTTGCTGTTTATTGAAATGCTACCACATCGAGGAAAGCACAAAGGTTCTTCCAGCATTCCAACAAACTTTGGTTCTTCGACAGTACTTCGCTTGATGAACCTAGCAACAAAACCAATTTGTACATCACATTTCTATCACATAATATAAATAACAAATTAAAGTTGCCTCATGACCAATAAGCACAGAAGACATGATGGTAAAGTCCTACAATTCTAGATTTTGGTGTTAGATGGAGGTGGTCACCTTCAT